CAGGTGTCCAAGCTGGTCCACGCCATCAAGATGGGCTGGATCCAACCCCGCAAGCCCAAGGACTCGGCTCCGGTGTTTTACGATCTTTGGGCTCGCGAGGATCCCAAATCCGTCCTGGGCCGCCACAAAATGCACGTCCCGGCCCCAAAACTGCCCCTGCCGGGCCACCAGGAATCCTACAACCCGCCCCCGGAGTTCCTGCTCAGCCCCGAGGAGGTGACGGCAACGGGAATTCGGGAATTCCGGGAATTTTGGGAATTTCGGGGGGTTTGGGAAATGGGGAATGGGGTTTGGGATCAGGGAAAGGGGGTTTGGGATCAGGGAAATGGGGTTTGGGATCGGGGGAATAGGATGTGGGATATGGGGAATGGGATTTGGGGGATTTGGGATCAGGGAAAATGGGATTTGGGGCATTTGGAAACAGGGGAATGGGATTTGGGATCAGGGAAATGGGAATTGGGATCAGGAAAACAGGATTTGAGGGATTTGGGATCAGGGAAATGGGGTTTGGGGTCTGGGGAATGGGATTTGGGATCCAAGAACAGGTTTTGGGATCCAGGAACGGGATTTGGGGGATTTGGGATCTAGGGAATGGGATTTGGGGGATTTGGGATCCAGGAACGGGATTTGGGGCATTTGGAATCAGGGAATGGGATTTGGGATCTAGGGAATGGGAATTGGGGAATTTGGGATCAGGGAATGGGATTTGGGATCTGGGGAATGGGATTTGGGATCAGGGAACAGGATTTGGGGCATTTGGAATCAGGGGAATGGGATTTGGGATCAGGAAATGGGATTTGGGATCAGGGAAATGGGATTTGGGGGACAGTTGTTGGGTTGGGATCAGTCAGGAAGGGATTTTCTGGGAATTTTATCCCGGGAATTGCTGAGGAATTTTGGGAATTGTCCCTGCCCCCGGAGTTCCTGCTCAGCCCCGAGGAGGTGACGGCGACGGGAATTCGGGAATTTTGGGAATTTTGGGAGGTTTGGGGTCTGGGGAATGGGGTTTGGGATCCAGGAACGGGATTTGGGATCAGGGAAA